GTAGTAGTAGTAGTAGTAGTCTAGTTCAAATCTACTGTGGAGCAGATATGGAAGAGAGTGTTTTAAGTGCCAGGGCTGTCTTGCTGCCTTTTGTCCTGTGCGCAGGCACCCTAGTTTCAATTTACGCAGGGGTACACTGCTGGGCGCGCTTGTGATATACAAGCCCTCCTTCATGGGGCAAGGAGACCCTGAGCCACTCCTGTCCGATCGTAATGCGTATGCCGCAGAAATAGTCATCTTCCGATGATCATTGTGTTGGACTTTACACACAAGGTTTTCGAAGTGGTCTGCAATTTGGCAGAGATGCATGGCTTCCTCTCACCTTGAAGATTGGACACGAGTTTTATACATTTCGAACCAATGAGATTACGATAGCTATTGACATTATCATAGTTTCCCCTATCTTGATTGGTTTTTGTAGCACCATTAGAAAGCAGTGTCAGCAGTGCTCGTTGTGCTGTCTTAGAGCCCTTCTTGCTGATAAATGATGCTGCACGCCAGGACGAGATCTGGATTCATGCGAAATCCAGAATCTGCCTGTCACAACTTGGAGCACCACATCTGGATTCGAAACCTTTCCCGGTGGTTCAAACCAAAGAGCATGCCCAATCCATCTCGTCGTGAAGCACTGGTTTATGTGATGTGTCTGCCGCTAACTTAGTAACACTGGCACCAGGGAGTCCCTCTATGAGATCCGTGATTCCTCAAGCATCTTTCTCGTACTGATGAAGTTCTGCAGTGTGCACAGCACATCATGTGAATGATCCTAGTCATGAGCATCAACAGGAAACGGTTCAAAGCCGTACTGCTATCCTTGCTAAACTTGATGTCCTTAACACGCATGGAACTGATGGCATTACGGTTCTTCACTGTAAAAGCTGTGTAAGCCTGCGGTCGAAGCTCTTGCCTACACTGTTGACAAGATCCTTCAAACTGGTGATATTCCTGAGGACTGGCAAAGCCTGTATCCCAAAGCAGGAAGATATTGTTGCTATCAAGGACTGCATCCTCTGTCCTTTGCTCCCGTTCCTTGGAGAATCTTCCGTAAATCGCCTCTCCTGCAAAACCTTCGCTGTCAAAATGCGATTGCCAACCGCTCGTTTGGAGAGGTCAACAACCGCAGTGGCATGTCTGCTTGGCGAGCGGTGCCCTATTTACAAGAGCAGTGCTCATACCCTGATGCTGATGCGACACACATTGCAAAATTGCATTCCAATGCCTGCATATTTACTTCATTAGGGCGGATTGGCCTGCTGGTTTGAAAGCGTGAGCGGAGTGCCCACCGTGTGCGCAACACTGCCTTGTTGCTACCACTCAGCTCCCTCAGCATGTTTTAAGTCAGTGGCGTGCTCTTCAACTACACTTTGCTCTCCTCTTTGAAACCCGGATGAGGATTGCAAGAGAACCTTGCAGACTGACACCATGACTGTTGACTCGCATCTCCTGGATGGTCAGCGACAAACTGATGCTCTTGTCTGCCTTGCTGACATGAAACAGAACATAGTCATCTGACAACATGAAAAGTGCCGTGGTTTGAAGTTGACACCTCCTAAGGTCTGACTGACTCACATTGTTGGGGTGCCACCAAGTTTGACTATGATAGACTTGTCTGCTTTTGGAAAATTGGATTCTTCATGAGTAGAGTGAGCATCAATAACTGGATGCAAGTCTTGCTTGCGCCTCTGCAGATGAAAGGTGACAAGGCATCATTCGTGCACAGATGTGGTAGCACTGTTAACCATGTCGGGAAGTTTTGTGCGCTTTCCATTTCTTTGTTGGAAAAAGCTTGGGCGCAAGATTTTCCTTCTGAGGACGTTCAGCTTGGTGAACAAGTGCATGTGCACTGGCATGAGAACTTGCCTAATGCTCGGATATTCCCGTCCAAAATTGCACTTCATTCCTTGTGGTTGGCATGTTAAAGAACTCAGACTCTGTCTGCAACTTATGCATCAGCATTCCAATAGTGCTGCTCGTAAGCACATGACAACCAGACACCGTCGAAGAACTTGCCGCACTAATCCAGTGCAGACCCCATCCCCTTCCTGCAACAACTTTTGGAGTGAACTGGTTCACTGAAACGAGAAGAAAGAGACGATGGCTTGCGTGGGAGCAACAAGCACTGGCCACTTCACAGCAACATATCGGCAACAGATAGATATCGTTGCTAAAATCAAAAACACATGTGTACCCGCTTGTGCTGTTCAGGGGCAAACTTGAGTTTTTTCTGGATGTCGAAGCTTCGATAAAAAAACTATCAACATTTTCGTTGACGTGAAAGGGCACCACCAGACCGGACTGGGGTAAGGAAATGCCGAGTTGCATCTTCTGTTAGACCCCCATTAACTTTATCAAGACCCCTTACAAGCTTCCTCGCAGATGTGCCAATTCAAGAAAGCTTGAACTTGACATGCAGAAGACACCATCTGTGGCAACAAACGAGTTTTAGCAAAGTTCTTAAACGTCTCATGTCCACGTACCAGCGTGCGAGGCGAATGACTAGTAGTGGTAGCACTAATACTAGTAGTAGTCGTCGTCGTCGTAGTAGTAGTAGTAGTGGTGATAGTAGTGGTAGTAGTCGTCGTCGGAATAGTAGTAGTAACACTAGCTGTAGTAGTAGTAGTAGTAGTAGTAGTAGTAGTAGTAGTACTAGTAGTAGTACTAGTAGTAGTAGTAGTAGTAGTAGTAGTAGTAGTAGTGGTAGTGGTAGTGGTCGTGGTAGTAGTAGTGGTAGTATATGGTCGTCGTCCTAGAAGTAGTAGTAGTAGTAGTAGTAGTAGTAGCAGTAGTAGTAGTAGTAGTAGTCGTCGTCGTCGTAGTAGTAGTAGTAGCAGTAGTAGTAGTAGTAGTAGTAGTAGCAGTAGTAGTAGTAGTAGTAGTAGTAGCAGCAGCAGCAGCAGGAGTAATCGTCGCCGTCATGGTCGACTTAGTCGAAGTCGCTGTCGTATTCGTTGTGGTTGATTGTCGTCGGGGTGGTCGTCGGGTTGGTGGTGGCAGTGGTGGTGATGGTGCTAGTAGTCGTGGTCGTCGTCGTCCGCATGGTAACAGATGTAGTCATGACATGGTAGGAGTGACAAGGTTTTACCGGCTTCATCTTGGCGCGATGCTCTTTGATCTGGCCAAACCGAAGCCGAAGCATTGAATCATGGCTGAGCATCATGTCAAATGCCCCGGCTTGGCAAATCGCAGATCAGAACTTGTAGAAACACGTTACTGCCGTTTGTTGTCGCTACTCACTTTTGTTGTTGTTGCTGGCCTTACTATCTATCTTGTAGTCGCACATAGTCTTGAATTTCATCAACATACAACCCTGCCATACAAAAACCGAGGGACCCCCCACACCCTAAAGCCATGACCCTGCTTGTATCAAGGCCCTGCTCGGACAGCTCAGTGGATCCACCATGGCGATCTTGAACTTGGGGGACTCAGGCTTGCTTCGGTGTGCTTGAGGTCAGGGAATTTGGGCTTGTGAGGGTCCGTTGAAGTGCGCGGATCTAGGGCCCAGGAGTTACGAGTGCAGGATCTTACCTGCAGCTCGGGTTTCCTAAGCTGCCTTGCTGTTTGCAGGAATCTGCACTAGCCCAAGTGATGGCCAAACATGAGAGAAGGCAGGCGATCCATTGTTTTTGCAAGACCCGGGATCCTAAGTCGACTGCAAGGCGCAATCCACAACATCACATGCAGGCAGCGCTTCTTGTTCCCCAAAAACCAGAAGCTGTTAGTTATCGTCGCGTCGGCTGTAGTGACTGTAATTGTAGTGGTGGTCGCAGAAGCAGAAGCATCATCAACAGTTCAATAGCATACGAATATCCAGCAGCAGGAAATACGCAAATCGAACTTGCCTTGGAGTTTGGAGTTCCGTTCGCCGGGCCAGGGGCTATGCTTCTGCGACCAGCACTGCGAACTCCGCCGGGATCGGATCAGCCGTTGCTGTTTCCCCGGGTCGTCTTCAGGCCGGGTCTTGCCTTTGGGGGATTTAACTTGCCCGGTCACTGATGGTGGTGCATTGGATTGGCGGCCGCAAAGGGCCGCTGTTGATGATGATGATTGCAACGACTGTCATGGAAACACGCTTCGAGTGATGTCGCACATGAACAAGCAGCGAATTTGCAACTTCAGTCATCTTTCGCATATAAAGACACATTCTTACTGTAAGGTCACAGGTCGGAGCCCCCTGCTTGCAAACCATCATGCCAATCGCTTGGGCCCATGAGCTGAGCGCTGAACCCTAAGAACCCTAAATGTCAGAAGCGAGCCTAAATGCTGAGTGCTGCTCGACCGAACCTTTGAACCCAAATGCCCAAGCGCTGAACCGCTGAGCTCGAATGACTCCGAATTTCAGCCCCGGATTCCGAAATCATGACGAACTCGACGTCCAGCAAGGTCCAGCGACCAAACTCACTACTTCAACTGTCCATATCAGCTGGGCAGCGGCAGTGCGCCTGTTGAGGCATTGCTGCTCTTTTTGGAGTGGCTTCCGGACCTTGGCGTCCAGGGTTTAAGCTTTCAAGCGTATGCACCAGCGAATGAAGCCTGATTCCGTCGAGCAATTAGGAACGATGTCCTCGTCAGCCTTCCAGTGAGCCCTAGTCCTCAGCCCGAAGCCAAGTGATGCATTCGTGGGAAGCTCTCAGAACCCTCTGTAACCCTTGCTTGGTGTCGCTCTTCACGATCCTAACAGAATCCCCCGCCCACAAGTTTTAGTGGGACTTGTGCGGCGTTGGGACCTTGTTCGGGAGGTACGGTACCTCACGAGGAGCCATGGTTCACAGCAACCCATCGAACTCCACACTCTAACGTATTAGTTTGGAACAGTCAGGCCTCACAGAAGCCCCACAAAACTCAAGCCTTGCGGAAACTCCGCAACAACAAAAGTTCTAGAAGCATTCCAACTCTAAACTCCCCACGCCCCAGCAATCCTAAACTCCTAATCCTCAAATCTCTGGAACAGGCTCCCGATTTCATCCGCGTTCGGGTTCGAACTGGCGACCTGGTCAGCCCGGGAGTCTTTTGGAAGCCTCTGCTGTGAGATGGCATTTTGGGGTATGAGGCGTCCGTTCTGGGACTTGGTTCTTTAGGGAATCCGGTCTTAGGATGGAGATGTAGTTCTTGCAGAAGGTCTGGCACAGTCCGCAAGCGGAATTTCGAGGCTGAGCAGGTGAGGCTCATCTGTTCACAGGTCATTGCTGCAACCGACGGGGTCTTTGACAACCTGTTTGATCACCAGGCTCGTTCATGATCGGCGCTTCTTTAATTAAGGCGCTTTTTGTTGAGGGCTTTTCAGTTTCAGAGGTGCTGTGGATCTTCTGCTTCTATCTTTTTCAGACTCCAGTTCATGGCTAGACCATCATTCAACTCTCGTGAGCTGAAGCCTGAACGCAAACTCCAAACCTTGGCCTCTACAGGCAAACTCCATAAATACACAGCTCCAGGGAGGCCAGGACACGACAGCTGGTGCTCATTCAACACGCATCGCTTTCATCGACATCGGCATCACAAACAACAAATGCACCGTCACCATCGTGAATGTCAGAAGTGGTAGACGGGATTGTGATGTCTGTGCTCATGATCAGTATGCTGATACAAAAAGTCGATGACTGTTCGTTCAATTCGTGTGCGTCTTGTGGGATCGAGACAGGTTCAGGGTCAACTGTCAACTGTTTTGGACGTGCACCGTGTACCACGTCTTTGTGTTGCCAACCTGTGTTTGGGTTAGTGCTGTCAATTCTGTTGTTGCTGCTGGTACTATCACCAGTGCTTGTAACAGTATGTACTAGTTACTAGTAACTGCCACTATCTTTTACCACTACCTACTACCTACTCTCTGCTACCTACCACCTACCACCAGCACCACCACCACCACCACCACCGCCACCACCACTGAAACTGCTACTGCTACTGCTACTACTACTACTACTACTTCTTCTTCTTTTCTTCTACTCTCACTTGTAGTACTACTACTGTACTACTACTAACTACTACTACTACTACTACTACTACTACTACTACTCCTACTCCTACTCCTACTCCTACTCCTACTCCTACTCCTACTCCTACTCCTACTCCTACGACGACGACGACTACCCCCACTCCTACTGCTCCTACTACTCCTACCACTCCTACTACTCCCACTCCTATTACTTCTGCTCCTAGTCCTTCTCCTACTCCTACTCCTGCTCCTACTCCTGATCCTACTCCGATCCCTACTCCGACTCCTCCTGCTCCTCCTGTTCCTACTCCTACTCCTACTTCTACTCCTACTGCTACTGCTGCTTCTTCTGCTGCTGCTGGTGCGACTGAGACGTAGCTGCGACAAATGCAGCTATTGAGCGGATGTTGTTTCAGCTGCAGATTCTGCATAGGAGTATGATTCGATAGTGAGCCTTTTACGTCTCCGGGGCTGTGTCGCTGAAGGCTTTTTGCCTTTTTGCATACGTTGAAAGTTATGGGCCAGAGAAAACCCCTTAATATCAGGAACATGGGTACTTCGAAGCAACCGTCCCGCCCCTGCGTGCCTATCCAGAGCGAGGATCATCTCCTCGGCAAAGCCGCGAGCTCTTGGCTCCACAAACAGCCAAAATCAACGGGCTCTGCACACAGGCCCCGCAGTTTTCAACATCGCCCTATCAGCCCTGAGCTGCCCATGGGTTTGGGGTTTAGGGTTTAGGGTCTAGGGTTTGGGGCCGGGGCACCGCATCCAGCTTGCGATTGAGGATGGCAGCCTGCCTCGTCTGCACACCTCAGAGGAGAAGGCTAGGGCTGACGGTTTAGAGTATGGTTCGGGATACATGTAACGGTTTAGGATGCATAAACTTACAGACTTTTATAGGATATCGGCTGAGGTATGTAACGTGAAGGCCGGACTTAACCCCAAACCCTAAACCTTAAACCCTAAACCTTAAACCCTGAACCCCAAACCGTAAACCCTACAAACCCTAAAACTCCGTTCGGTTTGCTTCCTGTTGGGCTTTGACGAACACCCCGCAGAGCTCCTGTGCCTCGCACCATTGAGCAGCCTAAACATAGGAGCCTTAATAAGTAGAGCAGAGTTCCTTTGAAGGGGTTACCATAAGGGTATTAAGAATTAGAATAGGGTTCCTTCAAGGGTTCCTTTAAAAGGGCTACTATAAGGGTTTTAATAATTAGAATAAGGCTCCTTTAAGAGTTCCTTTAAAGGGGTTACTATAAACAATTAGAATAGGTAAAGATGTGGGAGAGTATATGGGAGTTTCCGAAGATTAGGGGTACCTTATTTTGGGGTCCTTATAATAAGGATCCTACTATTTAGGGTGCTATATTGGGGTCCCCTATTTTCCGAAACCCCCATATATATATATATATAGGAGCCTTGATAACTATAATAGCGTGTTTTCTAGGGTTCCTTCATGGGGGTTTTAGGGTGCTTTTGAGGGTTGAGGGGTTTAGGGTTTAGAGTTTTAAGGGGTAGAAAGAGGGGCCTTAATAATTAGAATCGGGTACCTCCTCTAGGGTTCCTCAGTATTTAAGGGTGTTGCTATAAGGGTTTGATGTAGGAGCCGTAATAGTTAGAATTTGGGTTCCTTTAAGGGTTCCTTTAAAGGGGTTACTGTAAGGGTTTAATGTAGGAGCCTCAATAATTAGAATAGGGCTTTGGGGTTCCTTTGGAGGGTTCCTTAAAAGGTTCTATAAGACTATAGCAGCCTAAGTCTCAAAAACATATAACAACCTCCGAGCCAGGAGGTTTCAGCCAAGCAGCGACGGATGTCCATGAGGGTGGGTATTTCCGCAATGCAGGCACCAAGCAAGGCTACCTGAGTTGCCCTAAACTAACGCCTAACTACCCTAAACTACCCCTTACCCCGAAACCTGGCAGTGGCCCTGAACCCCAAAAACTTAACCAAAATACTCCAAGGTTCAGACACGAACAGGATTGCACAAGGATGTAAAGTCCCGAACAGTAGAGCTGTGAACTGGAGGCCTTTTTGTAACCCCTGAAACACAGATGCCTGATCCAACATCCAGAAAAGGTTCTTCTTGGTTACCTGACTCAAACAGCTTATTATGAGATCCTATCCTAGCCATAAAACAGGTCATCCAAAAACACCTGCTGTTTGCGTCACCTACACACTTAAACGTAGGACTTTCTTACCTTAGATTCTTAATGTAGGATCCTAACCATAGAGAAAATACTCCTATACATAATAAAAGGTACTAAGCTGAAGTGTCTGGCCCTGACTAGCCCACCTTTTCAGGACTTACGTAAGGGATTCATAAGAAAAACACAAAAAAAGGACCCTAAACCCTAAACCCGTAACCCAAAAACACAAAAACACAAAAACCCTAAACCCTAGGAAAGGGTAGGTTTGTAGAGTCCAAGTAGGACTTAGTATTCGATTGCCTTTTGAGGGCTTTGAACTTTGGGGACAGCTTGATGG